GAGGCCGAGCAATGAGCCCAACAGCCGCGCGCCCCCCTGCGCCGCGCGCGGGCCGAGGCGAGCGGCCACTGAGAGCCCCGGGCTCCGCCCTGGGGCCGGCGATGAGCGGCGGAGGCTGAGGATGATGGTAGATTGCCAGGTGAGTGCCCCTCCCGGTCCGGGCCTCCCTTCCCGCTGCTCGGGGTGGGGGGAGGACCACAAACCCCACGCCCACATCCCAGCCAGTGTTTGGGGGCCTGGCCCGGTGCTCGTTGAGCGCGGCGCCCTTATGCAGTTCCACGTCCAATCCCTTATTGTACAATTGGGACACTGAAGCCCAGAGAGAAGCAGGGACTGACCCAGGGCACACGAGGTTGGCAGAGATAAGGATAATGTAGAGTTCCAGTCTCCTAGGCCAGGACTCAGCTGTTTCCCAAGGGGTTTGACTTCGGAATAACAGCCCCTGAGATCTGGAGGACCTCTGCTCACCCCTCGCCACGTGGGACTGTTTCCTCTCGGCATCCCCACACGTGCACAGGCACGCCCGTGCACACACGCACAGACGCTGACTTCACAGGTGGAGACCATGGGGGTGGAACCCACCCTAGGGAGGTGACAAGGGGGAAGAAGAAAGAGGTTGGAGGCAGCTCTGCCATGGGGCAGTGGCAGTTGCAACATGCCCACAGATTTATAGCATAGGGACGGGGAGAGGTACCAGGCTGATAGGTAATGGGATCCCCAAGGTTCCCAAGGGGTCTGACTGGGCAAGGGGCCATCCCCAGGGCAACCTTGAGAGGACAGGGCCTGGGGTTCTGCAGTCCACTGCTCTGGGTTCCTGGAACTAGAATGAGTACCCTTAGTATGGAGGGGTTACAGGAGAGAATGCCTCAGTATCTCCCCCTATAAATTGGAGTGCTTGGAGTGAGTGATCACAAGAGTTCCACAGGCTCGTAGAGGTGTCCACTGGTCTTGGTTCTCCATTGGTGACCTACTGTGTTCCACCACCCTTGGAAAACCATTTCTACTCTCTGCGTGTCATCCAAGCAGAGAGAGGCTTAGGGTTCTGGGGACTGAGGACTTGAGGTAGGGCAGAGCATGGCAGAATGCTGAACCATGAGTCTGGCATCTAGATTCAAGACAAGTACTTGCTGGAGCCTTGGAGTCCTCCTTTGGAAGTGGGGCTGAAATCGCCCTGGTGTGGCAAGGATACCGCATGGCTGGACTGGACACCCCAGGGCAAATGGAGGCAAAGAGTGGAGAAAAGGAGTCTTTTGAGATCCCTTGCACCACTTGTGGAAACTTTT